GTCCTTCCAATCACGAAGGCAAAATAACCGGAGACACCAAATAAGATAGTGCTTAGTGCTGATTTCTTGGAAATAGCCATCTTCAGAAACACAGAACTGTAAAAGTTTGAACTTTTTCAGAAGCTGGTGTGAAAAAGCAGGGTGGGAGCACAGAGACTGAGTAACTGCGTCCTGTTGAGTTGCAGCCCTGATCTGTGGTCTCTGGGTACCATCCCTCAGCCCAAACACCACCCATCAAAAGAGGAAGGAAGGAAGGAATTGTGTCCTGCAGTGCAGGAGGGAGGGCACTGCAGCTGCTCCACCTGCCATCAGCTGTGCTGAGAGATCTGGAGTTTCTGCAGAGCCCATTTTGGGGTGTCCTTCCCTGGGACTTGCCAACACCCCCACAACTCCTGCAGCTTGGAGAGCTTGGAGCTTTCTGAGGCAACTCATGAAGTTGGGGTGATTATCAGCTGCCTCATGGCTCCAGGTGTCTAGAAAATGGGATTTCTCCCATGTTAAAAACGAGCTGCTCACTGAAACACTGGTGACCAGAGGTTCAGGCAATGTCATGGGAGGAAGCCTTCTGGAAGAGCTGCTTAGGGAGAACATACTGGGGTTTGTGGTTGTCAGCTTCATGAGTCTTTTATCTCTTGAGTCTTGACCTGGTATCTCAAACAGGTGCTTCCTTGGTAGTGCAGGAGTTTGAAGGTGCCCCCCATGCCATTGGGGAGTTTGGAGATGTCCTTATCTCAGGGTCATGCAGGTGAGGGACCCTCACAAGAGGAGGACTTCCAGCCTGCCTGGATTCTATCACAGCTTCAATTATTTGGAGTAAAAGTTTTCTTCCAGAAAATGTCAGTGTCATAAAAATTCAGTGCTGGAGCTGGAGGAGACAGTAGCAATGAAAACTGATGGATTGATCAGCTTCCATGTTAAACTGGGAGCTGTTCCAGCCACACTGGAACTGCGAGCAGGCTTGGGAAGACCATGTCTCTCAGACCTTCCAACAGAGGGTTGTGCAACTTATTCCCTCTGGTGGAAATTTAAATTCTACAGAAATTAGTTGCCTAGAGGCCTTTGCATCTTCAAGGAAGTTTCCTTCTTGCCTTAGTGGATTTCTTTCCCATACCTGATGAAGAGCATCAGTGAAGGAGGTATGTAACTGGTGAGAACCGAAGGGAGTGCCGTGTGGATTTGGCTTTGCAGGCAGGATCAGTGAGATCTTCCTCCCACTGTGGATGCTGAAGGTGATGCAATTCTTCCCCAGAGCCTGCCAACCCTGTGGGGTTTTTTTGCATAGAACAAATAGTAGCATGTGTGGCAAAAGTGGGGGACTTCGCGTCTTTGATTTAAAACTGAAATAGCCATCAGGGGAAGTTGTGTGAGGGAGACTGTGGGTCTCAGGCTGGAAGAAAAAAGGATGCCCTTAGGGATTCATGATGCAGTGGGAACTCCAGGTAGGGCAAGAGGACTGAAGAGGGCCTCACCTCTCTTCTCACTCATGTTGAAGCTCCAAAATCTGACAGTGCTGATGTCCAAAGTGCTGCATGCTGGTCTTGGTTGCAGGAGTGAGAGATTTAGGAATGGGGTGCAGCCAAGACAACATGCAAAATAAACCCAGAACAGGCAGAAGGAAGCCCTAAGAGATACCTGTTGGTTTTCTGCAGCAGTTTTGGCCCTTGTCAGCATTACCAGAATGTACAGTGATCAGTGGAGGGCTTTATGCAAAAAAAAGGCAGCTGGTCAGGCTGACTTACTCGGGTCGCTGTGATCTCTGTTATAATTGTTCCCTGTGTGATTATTTTGAGGGTTGAGCAACTGAGAGCTGCAGAAGAGACGTGCAGCTTTATTTCTGTGAGGTGTGAAATGTTCTGTGTTCATTTCAAAAACGTTCATTACTCTTTCTGTCTTAAAAAATATAATAAAATTCCAGAAGTCTGCAGGAATTTTTGTGAAGTGTAACTTTAAATATTCACCTTTCCTTTTATCGCCCTTATCAGTGCACAGAGCTCGGTATGTGAGGTTTTTAGCTGACATTTCAAATCGCTCTGAGTGTGCCTGAATCCCTTTTAAAGCAGCCTCCCCTCCCAGATCAGAAGTGACCAGTTTTTTTTTTTTGTTAGACTCCATGTTCCTTTAATGTTTTCCTCCTAATAGATGTTGAAAGCGTTCTTCAGAGGCACGGCACAAAACATTCAAATAGTGATACGAGCCAGCTGAAGAGAGTTGTCAGGGAGAGGGAACATTAGGAGAAGGATTGAATACAGATGGATTCCTCAAAAGTAATGTAACCTGTTATGATTGCTTTGAAATCCTATACCCTTTCCATCTCCTTATGCTTACCAAAAGTTTACATTTGCATTGATGTATTAGAGGCAGAGCTAAAATGGAAGTAATCCCTGTTGTATACACGCTTAAGTGTGTAATTTTAGCTAAATAAAACAGTTGTGACCAAACCTGCATTGTCAGTGGGAAGCCCACAGCCCTGGATTGCTGCAGGAGAGACAATCCATCCTGACTTTTCTGGAGGGGCCAGGGACCACCCAGCACCCATCTGCTTGCTCTCAGTTCCTTCAGCCAGCCCACTTCCACACCCAGCAACCTCTTCAGATGCTTTCTGCTGTTCTCTCTTTGTATCAGCAGATACAAAGCAGAAATGGATTGAGCTATGCATTTTATTCTCTATACTGTAGTTCTTTCTTAATATACTGCTGCAATAATCCATGCCTCTTCCAGAGAGTCCTGACAGAAGGTCCACTAGAAGAAGTTGGTGCTGTATTTTAATTGGGTTGTCCAAAAAGCATCCTTCTCTTTGCCCGCAGGGAAGGCCTGAGCTATCCATCATTCCTGCCTCAATTTAAGAGGCTGTCTCAGCCTCCATCATGCAGCTGTCATGTTGGATTTGACAGGAGGGTTGCACTGCTCAGAACTGACCGTTCTGCAGGGGGAGAGCTGGTGAAGGGGCCTGGTTGGGTTTTCACTTATTATGCCTTACTTTTTAGGTTGAACTTGTTCAAATTATTTCCAGTATTTGCCCTAGAAAGCCGTTCTGAAATCTGATGGAATATAGTAATAAGTTTGCTCCAGTGCACATTGGCAGTGACAGGCAGAAAGTTTGTGTGCTGGAGGTTCTGTGGTGACTCACCATCCCAAGGCAGCTGTAAATGTTCATCCCTTACTGACTCTGTGTTGCACCCGAGCATGGACAAACCTCACAAGGCTCTCTTTTCCATTAATGCTCTTTGCACCAGGCAGCTGTGCTGAGCTTCATCATCCAAGGAGAGATAGCTTGGAGTTTTGTTTGATTTGTGGCAAACAAAATACTAGTTTTCTCTTTGTGAGAATAGGAGAGTAATTTGTTTCTAACTGATCCCATAATGGACCTGAAACAATATGATTCTTCTTAGTGGCCAGTGAGCATCCATGACTCCTTGAATTACAAGGAAAATAGGTTGTGTGTCGAGGAGCCGAAGGGTAGGTGAATAGGAGCTGAGTGAGCAGTGTGTTGGCTGAAGGCTGTAGCCCTGTCCAGTTCAGGTTTTGAAATACTTTGGTATTGGTTCCCTCTTGCTACACTGTGTGCCATATTATACATCCAGCTTTCCAAACACCTCCACCTTAAATGGGTTCTCCACCAGTCCCAGTTCATGTAGTGGCTGTCCTGCGTTTATACTCCGTACGAAGAGGCACAGACTGCCAGCTTTTCCCTTCGATGGTGTCTTCCTCACCTCTGGGCCCTCCATCTGTGCCTTTCTCATGGCTTTCCTTCCCTTATCTAAATGTAAACTCATCAGGGCAGGGGCTGTTTTCTGTTGTCTGTAGGACTTTGACCACTGCAGTTCAGCCAGAACCGCTGTTCAGGGCAGAACGGGGAAGCACATGTTGCATGATGTGCCCTCCATGGAGATGTTTGCTCAGGGCCCATTGCAAACCACATCAACCAGGTGCCAGTTACTGAGTTACTAAATAAAAGATCATGCTGATGAGCTTTGTGATCTGAATTAAAACAGGGCCCTTATTTTCAGAGCTTGGAAAACCCAGGAATTCATCAACTCTTAAGATACCTTACAAATGCTGCTCTTCATGCAGAGGGGCAGGCAGGGAGAGCAGGGGATTAAATGATGTTTGGTTGGTGTGAACATTTCAGCTTGTTCCTCCTTCTGGCAAATTGCAAAATGACTTGCAGTGAGAACAAGTTGCCTGCATGGCCTGTCAGTCCTGCAGGGTAGCAGAGCTGGCAGAGTTGGCAGCAGTAGCTTTTCTGTGCCAGTGGCAGAGTCAGTGTGAAGGAGTTCTTGCCTGCTTGGTTCCACAGGCTGCTTCACCATCAATGCAAGTCTCCTCCTGAGCAAGGAACTGAGCAAGGCAGCCTCTCTTCCTGACATTTTGCTGAAGAGGAGTCTGGCCTGAATGTGTGCTTGAATAACAAGGTTGTGTACAAACTAACTGCTGTAGATCCAACAAGCAGATTGTCCGTGTGAAAAGTCAGTGTGATTACATGGTCCTTCCTGATGGAATTTGCGAGTATGTGGTGTGCCTGAATGTGAGACTGGAGGTCAGCTTTAGGTGCTGTGTTGTGAGCAACAGCTTTTCCTTGCATCACCTCCCTCCCTCGGCAAACATGTTGGAGTAAAGAGGGATGTTAAAGTAAGCATGGAATGGGTGAGCTGTGCTACACATCCCTCCCTGTTGGAAGAGTCGAAGCCTGTTCTGACTGAGAAAAATGCTGTCTTATTACCTAGATATTGCTTTTAGATACTCCTGTAATGACAATGCTAAGCAGCTAGCCCATGTACACTGTAAATCGTGATGGAAACTGGAGTTCTTTCATGCAGTCTTGTTGACTCCCTTCTTTATCTCTACCGGTATCATCTTCATTACACTATGAATTCCCTTTTTTCTTCCATTAAGAGTCGAATTTTTCATCGTTCTATCAGTGTAACTTAGTTGTGAACACAGCCTGTTCTGTTGCCCGGCGCTGGTTGTGCCCTTCTAATGTGACTCTGGTGTTTTTGCAGGCACGGGTCGTGGAGAGAGCCTGTTAACCCTTACTATGTCAACACGGGCTACGCTTTGGCCCCGGCGACCAGTGCCAACGACAGCGAGCAGCAGAGCATGTCCAGCGACGCCGACACCATGTCGCTGACAGACAGCAGCGTGTGAGTACCTCCAGCCTGCTGGGACAGGGGCATGTCTGTGTCTTCAGCAGTGTTGTGTTGGTGTGGGATAGGCCTTGCCACAGCTGGGGTTGAGGGAACTGTCTGAACAGACCACGGTCATGACCATTCTCACTTCCTCTTCAGTCGTTTTGTCGCTGTGGAGGCTGCAACACAAAATGCTCGGAGTGAACTAAAATAAATGATGCTCAGTGGGAGTTTCTGCAATGTTTCTTGCCAGGTGCAAGAAGAATTGGCTTTGTAGTAAGTGATTTGAGCTACAGTGTCTTCTGAATGTCAGACAGAGCTTTCTAATTGCCTGGGTACTTCTCCTGAGGTTTTGTGCTGCCAAACTCACAGAATCACAGGATGGGTAAGGTTGGAAGAGACTGCAATGGGTCAACCTCCCTGCTCAAGCAGGGTCATTCCAGAGCACATGGCACCAGATTGTGTCCAGACAGCTCTTGAATATCTCCAGTGAGGAGACTCCACACCCTTTCTGGACAATCTGTTCAGTGCTTGGTCACCCACATGGTACAGAAGTTCTTCCTCATATTCAAGTGGAACTTCTGTGCATCAGTCTCTGCCAATTGCCTCTTGTCCTATTGCTCAGCACCACAGAGCAGAGCCTGGTCTACCCTCTGACACCTCCCTGCAGACACTGACAGACATGGATGAGGTCCCCTCTCAGTGTCTCTTCTCAGGGCTGAGCAGCCTCAGCTCCCTCAGCTTTTTCTCATGAGGGAGATGCTCCAGTCCCTTCATCATCTTTGTTGCCCTCCGCTGGACTGGCTCCAGGAGCTCCACATCTCCAGAGGAGACCAGAACTGGACACAGATGTTACTCCAGATGGAGTAACTCTGCTCAGTCTGCAATTGCTCTTCAGTAGGATTGGTGACTGACCAGTTCTAGGTTGTCTGGTGGCCACCGTGCTTTAACACAGCTTGTGCCAATAAGCCCCAGACAAATCTTTTCTGCTTTTTTCTCTTTCTGCCCCTCGTGACAGCACTCTGTATCTCACCCACGAGACGCCTGCCTTAAAGATGGTCTGCAAAGGGAGAAAAAAGGGGTTTTGAGATTTCATTGTGACTGCATCTCTGTGATAGAAAAAAAAAAGGATTTGGGGGAAAATATTCGCTGTTTGGTCTGTTTTTTAGTAGTGCAAATGCAAAGTGTCTTTCTGTAGAGTAGAAACCCTTTGATTCTTCAGGCAAAAGATGACAGGTTTACAGAATTAGGAGAGGGTTTTATTAATGGCAGTGCTGTAAACACAGAGTCCTCCAAGAGGCTCGTTTAGTGTCACTGTGAATGTCAGGAGCTGTCAGACCTTGTTGGAGAAACTTTCCAGCCTGTGCCATAGATGTTGTTAATGGGTGTTGCAACAGTTCCCCACCTGCCCTCAGTTCATACCGTGGGACAGTGGTGAGGGGGTTTCTGTGTCTGGGGTGGTGAGTCAGGAATGTCTGTTTTTTCTCTGGCTCCACGGAGGCTTGGGACCGTGTAGGAGCAACTGTGAGTCCATTCTGCACCCTGACACCAGCCCCTCGCTCCTTATCCATGTCATGCTGCAAAATGGAGGAGGCAGACCTTGTCCAAAGGGGCCTGGGAAGAGGAGGATGCCCCCAGGACAGAACACTGTAGAGGGCCACTAATTAAAGGCTCCATTTGATACAAATCCAGCTGCTCTGCCACATCGTTCTGCAATTCTTCATATTCATCAATTTATATGGAGAAGTGCTCTGAAACTATCAGGGGTCTTGTAACTTCTTGCTATCAGGAGAGACAGATGTAAGAACTCTTCAAAATTAATTAGCTTTTAGCACTTCCTTTTCCACTTGTCCAGCAGGCTCATGGGGCTGCTCTGATGGTTATACCTGCGATAAGTTGTGATCATTTATGCCAGAGTTCTTCACTCTCCTAATTTTTATTTCAGTAGCCATAGTTTGTTTCTTTTACAGGCAGAATAATTTCTGATTGGCCATCCTATGCTCCTTTTTCCTTTAGGCATTTTATTCCTCCTATGCCCTCCATAGTCTGCTTCTAGGACTTTAATTGCCACCACTACACGTGCTGCCTTCTGCTACTAATTAACCCAGTCTTAATGGTTCATTTTAAGTAAAACTTGAACACCACAAGGGTAAACCTGTGATCTTTCTTTCGATGCATCTCAGACTGGATGCTTGCAGAATGATCCCCAAATTGGGATTCTGGATGTACAGCCTTGACCTTTGGCTTACAAAGGCTCTGCCTGTTTTCAGAGTACTTGCTCTTCATTACATGCTTTAAAACTCCAGCACCAGACTTTATTCGGTTTTTTACGTGGCATTGCTGAACCTGTCTGCCTCCGAGTTTCAAAGGAATTTTTGCAGAACTGCTCAAGGCAGCAAAAATGAAGAACAACCAGATGAAGTTAAAGAAGGGACTCCTGCTGCTTGACAAGACTTACATGTCTCCGTGCTTTGAATTTAGGCCTCCTCTGAGGAAAATGGCAATAAAAGCCTCGTTTGCTGATGAGTGAGGTTCTTCCCTCTGTGTGCTGTTTACATACAGCAGTCATGCTTAATAGTGAAGAAATCTGGCTTGTGCTTCAAGGCAGCACATGAGTGGGGTGTGATCCCAAGGCAAAGACCTGAGCGATGCTCTGCCTGTCTGGGCTCCTGAGCTGGGGCGAAGGGAGGCAGGCACAGACTTTTTGGGAGTACCCAGCCCACCAAAGGGGTTGTAAAGCTGTGATACCAGCTACAAACCTGAAAGACCAGCTTTCAACAGCATGTCTTTCTGGAAAATATTATTGGAATGGGTTGAATTTATATAACGAATGTGTTATCAGTCCCCGTCGGAGTACTTTGCTTTTTGAGTGGCTTAAAAAACATTGCTCTTAAACGCCTGCGTTCCGCTGATTATTTCTCAGTCTTCCTGTGTCATAGGAATTCCTCTGTCCTGGCAGGCAAAACAGCTCCGGTCCTCTCTGCTGAAACCTGTTTTTACAATCGTCAGGGCAGCTGTGTTGTTTTAGCTGGTCTGTGTGGAGGCAAGGTCTGGGGAGGACACTGCGAGAGGCTCCGGCGAGCTCTGGCCCGGCAGCTGGGGCCGAGCCGTTCACTGCTGCTGTTCAGTGGTGGGTCTTTGGGGCTCTGCCTCCCCCTGGGCTGCTCAGAGCCTGCCCCAGTCTTGCAGCAGCATTTCCAGCACAGTCCTAAACTGCTCTTGCTGTCTCAGATAACCCTGCATGGGGATAGCATCTCTCAGGAGTGGAGGAGGCAGCCTGTGGGTAGAAGGGGATGTCACAACAGAGATGCTTGAGGCAAATTAAGGCAACTGTAGGTAGGAAGGCAACAGGAAGCAGCTGAAATGCATTAAATTGCCATATGATGTTCCAATTCAGATGCAGAAATGCCTTAGATCCATATCTATCTTGATTTCTGCAAGACCTTACAGTGGTAAACAGGGGGTAATAGCTCCTCTTTAGCCCTTTGTTGTGCTCCAACTGAACAATACTCCTTCCTCTGGGTCTTGTCATGTGTCCTGGCTTATGTTGGTTGGGAGACAGCTTTGTCTTCCCCCAGGGCACTTGGGAAGCCCTTAGTGCCTATGGGCTTGGCCAGAGGGATGCTCCTTCCCCACTTCCAGTCAAACCTGCTCCAGAGGGAGGACGGCCATTCCCCAGAGCAAAGGGGTTTAGGACAGTAGTTAGTCCATCAAAAGCCTTGCAAATTAACTGTTATTCCTTGGATGACTGGCTTCTGGCCAAAATGCCTGGTGATTTTCCCATGGGGCTACTTTTATGTGAGAAAGGTCTCTCGGGTGACTGGAGGTGCTTTGGTAAGAGTAGTTGGTAGAAAATACCAGTTTCACTGTGGATTTGTTTCCTGTCTGTCCTGTGGCCAGTGGTCCAGAATTAAGCTGTATTTTAACAAGTTTAACAGCTTTTTAATTTAAAAGATCCCAAATGATGATTTCCAATGTTAGGTGTAATGGTTGGGTTTGGAGGGTATCTACAGAGGAGCAAAGGCAGCTCTTCTTAGAAGAGTCCAGCTGCAGAGCCACAGCCAGACTTCCCTGCTGACCAGAGGCTCTTGCCAGGTCAGTTTGGAGAGGGGAGGAAGCCTCCACATTTCCCCAACAGCAAACCAATTGCATTATCATTAAATAAACGATAGAAATACTCTTCTTCCCCCCTTGCACTTCAGCACTGAGTTTTCTGGTGCTAAAGAAAATCACGTGGTGAAACAAGGAAAAACAGTTTGAGAAAGTTTTATTTTAAAAGTAGATGTGCTCTAAAAAAGTTTTGATTTTTATATATATATATATATATATATTATTTCTCTCTATCTATTGAAAATATCTCAAAGCAAGCTACCTGACAAAAGGAAAACAAAAGTATGGTATTGGTTTTCCTTGCTTTCCCCCCATCTATTGAATACGGTTTTGTTGGGATAAAATTAAAGTGCTTATCTTTGAATTTGCTTCCTCTGGTTGAGTTGGCACAGTACATTGAACGAAGGAATGTTCCAAGTTCAGAGGTGGCATTGGGGAATCTAGTTAAAATGACATCAAAGGCAGCACAGCGGGGCTGAACATGTGTTTGAAGCCGGATAGATTAGAGGCCATTATCAGCCTTTCGCTACTGTGCTGGGAACAAAAGTCGCTCTTTCCGCTGGGGACTGCTGCTGGGGAGAATTAAAAAAAAAAAGGGAGAGAGAGAAAGAAAGAAAAATTGCACTTTCTAACATAATGCCGCTTTCCCCGCGAATGGCCGCACGGCTTTAGCGTGCGAGTTGTGTTCTGGCGCCCGGGTTTTGTGCAGTGGTTAAGCTGAAATGTTGTCTATTGATGCCGACCAGCGATGGCTAAAATAATCCCCCTGGCTTTTGTTTCTCCTCTAAAAACTGCCAGTTGTTTTGTTGCCATTAATCCAGAAAAAGCCGCTTCGCGGTGCGGTGAAACTCTGTAACCGTTGTGAGTCTTAAGTTCAGATGGAGCTTTGTCATTAAAGAAAATGAGGCCTAATGAACACTGCAGTAACCCCTGTTGGTACAGCAGCATGTGGAGAAATTGCCCTGCTCCTGAGCCATGTCACTATGGGCACAGGGAAGGTGGTGCTCCCAACATGCTCTTCCTCCTCTCGCATTACCTGCAGCCACTCTCCAGAGCTGTAATTAGCCTGGCTCATTTTCTGTTCTCTCGTTTGTCTTCCTACTAAAAAGCAGTTGTCATTAATCACGGGTTTTATTTTGTTTTAATGGTGTTTCATTTTGAATGCCTTGGTTGCTGCATGGAAATATGTTCTGCTCATGTAATTTGGTGGCGACTCTGCCCGCACCAACATTTCCAGGGAGCCAGCACGATGGGAATGGGAATGAGAGCTGATGGTGGCCATCCTCACACAGGCTGCTGCTTGAAACTCAGTAGGTTTGCAGGCAAAACACCGCAGTAGATTGTGTTTCTCTTGCCAAATGGCATCTTGACTTTAAAAACGTGCTGGTGAAACTGTTTGGTTTTTTTGGAGAAGCAGCTGGGCAGGGGGGTAGGTGCTAAGGACATTTGGCTTGTTCAAACATCTTGTTGTTGTGAGATGTGTGGGGACTGGCTGGTTTGCACAGCTCAGAGGGGTGCAGGGTTGGCAGGAGACGATGCCTGTACATGGAAGTTATTTGGCACTTGGGACTTACCAAATCCCTCCATCCGTTTCCACCCACTTCTGTGGCACTACACTGCCGTTTCAGGCAGTTTCTTCTACTGAATCAGAGATGTGAAAAATAAAAAAGGAAAGCTCCAAATTGCCAAGCTCCAGGCTGGCATTTGGTTTTGCATTTGTTGATTTTTCCCCAAGTAGCCCAATGTCACCAAGGATGGGTCATGTGTCCTCTCATAACTGGGGTCCACTCACATTTTTGTCCCGGGGTGTGAGCAGAGTGGTGTCAATGGTGAGAATAAAAATGTGTTTCTTTCCTTTGCCTGAAGTCACACTCATCCAGTGATGCTTTGCCTTTTGGGTTGCTTAGCAAAGCCTGGTGCCTCTGACCCGTTGACACCTGTTGCTGGGACCCATGTGTACCCAGGCTCATGGCAGAGCCATGGACCACACTCCCAGTCTGTCAGGACCGAGGATTGTGGCCACCAGTGTCTCCTTCCCCTGCAGAGACCTCCCTCACCTGCTTTTTCAGCACGGGCACAAACCCAAACGGAGGTGGTTCAGTTGGGCATCCCTTCCTAACCTTGTCCAGCCTCCTCTGGGGAGAGGGCTGGGTTCTTCCCCACAGTAACTTCAGTATCAAGCCCATAATTTCAGACTGAGCTAGAGCTTGCCTTGGGAGCAGTGGAGCCTACCCTTTTGCTTTGATAAGCCATTTGAGAAGCTGTCATGCTCTCTTAAAAATATATACCTTATTCCCTGACCAAGTTCCCCTTGGAGTAGATGCTCACTGAGCTCCCACTCCTCCTTCTCCCCCCTCTCCTAGCCTGCCCTGTGGTTTAATGTGTACATTACAGGCTCTTTATAGAAAGCAACCAACTATAAAAGGTACCAGGATGCAGTCCAAGTCCTTCTCCCTGCCCTCTGCCTTGGGCAGCAGTTGCAGGAGTTCTGCCTTGCTCTGCTCCTGGTGGATGCCTTGTAAGTCCCCCTGGCCCCCAGGGCCAGAGTGTCGTTGGTGTGGGCACCTGGACAAGCATCGTTCCCCACACAGATTCCTCTTGCTCTAGGCATGCAAAGCCTTCCTCAAACATAAAGGGGTTTCCTACCTGCCACTCTGTGTCAGCGAGTTGTGAGTGACAGAAATGTGTCGGAGAAAGGCACTAAAGCTGGACCTGTTGTTGTTTTGTTCTGGCAGAGATGGGATCCCACCGTACAGACTCCGAAAGCAGCATCGCAGAGAGATGCAAGAAAGTGCCAAAGCAAATGGACGCGTGCCACTACCTCACATTCCTGTAAGTAGCACTATCTCCTTCCCAGAGGTAAATATGCAAAATATGTGAGATCTGGAGTGGGCAGTTGCTCTGCTTGTGCTGGAGTTTAACCCCCTTTAGCACTGCATTAATTTTAAGACGGACAAACAATGTGCTAGGAAAGGACTTTGGGAGCCTTCTGCCTAACTCACCATGCAGGGCTGCCCAAAACACAGCCTTTTTCTTCACCATTCAGGCAGTAGCTGGCTGTTTCTCCTGGATGAGAATGGCAGCACTGGCTGGCATTTACCTGCAAGCAGGGTACGTGCCCTCGGGTGGGCTGGAGGTGTTTGTGGAAGGTGTAGGAGGCTGTTGGCCATGGAGGCTGATGTAGGTCTCAGCCAAGGTCAGCTGGGGAGAAATGCAACAGTCCCCAGTATTTCTGCACTGAGCAGCCAAAGGGAGCTGTAACCTGTTCTCAAGGACTCAGGAAAGCTCACCTGGGGTTACAAGGCAGGAGAGCAAAGAAGGTGCAGGCCTAAGTATCTCATTTGTCTGACACTTGGTTGCTCCAGGTAAGCAAACAGCTTTTGGAAGATGAGCACGACTGCCAGGGCTCTGCATCCCCATCTCTGCTTGTTACTGCTTTCTTTTTGTGAGAAGTTACAGGTGACATTTAATATCTAGTAGGGAATAGAGGTGCTTCTTTCCCCTTTGGACAGCTGGACTCCAGCACAAATCAAATAGGGAGAAAAAAAACCTCCATCTGCTTTTTCCAGAAGTGCCTTCAAACTTGACGCAGCTGTTCTCATCCTGCCTGCTCAAAGCAGCACAATACCAGCAGAAATACACCCTTGTTTTAATCTGATTTAAAAAAAAAAAACAGCACACCAAAACCACCACTCTTTGTTTTGCCTTTTAAATTAGATTATTTTCCTTAGATTTAAGAGGGTCTCCTGTGCTTTGATCACTGGGTTGACAATAAAAGCCCTGGCTGTGGACGCTCATAGCCATCCTTGCTCAGTCACCTCTCTTTTCACACAGTTGCTTTCACAGTGTGGTTGCTGTTGAAAAGGCTGGCTGGGTGCCTTTTTATTTCACTTGATGCCATTTTTACTGTAAGCATGGCTTTGTTAGAGTTGAAGTTTGAAAGCTTGGCCTTTATTTTTTGTTGTTATTGTTGTTGCTGTTCCCCAACAGTGGGAACTACTGAGTGAATATTCTCCGACTTCAAAGCTTGTCAGTGGCTTTACCTTTTGGATAAAAATAATAGTGGCTTTCTGTTGATGGTGTGCACTGGCAATGCCTCGATGAACTGCAGGTTATAAACTCAGAGTTTGGAGCATTAAATATGTATAGTGAACTCTGCTTTAACGAACTTCCATCTGCCAAACATTTCTTTTGTTGAACTGAATAAGTGTCATTCCAGCAGCAGTTCCTTGCAGGCTAATTAGTTTTACTTAGCATTAAATTTTATCGACCTTTTTGGAAACCAGTTTAAAAAGGGAGGGGGGGGGAAACAAGGTTTAAATTGGCCACCTGCTGCTTATAAATTTTCATATTATCCTATTTACCTACACAGTCTTTTAGAATTACATATTCTTCCTAAACTACACACAGATGCTTCAACAAGGATTTTTCTGTGAAACATCCACTGTTCCCATTAGGTTCTGCACTGTAATTTTAAGTCCCAGGGAAAAAGGCATCTTGACACATATTTATATGGGAGCAGAGGACTGAGAAGTCGAGTTAGTTCTAGTCTTTCTCCAGGGAATAAAAGTTTACTTCAGACACTCTGGCACCTCCTGCCAGCCAATTACTGACACAGAATTGGCATCGACTTCAGAGAGGCACTGCTCTGCCCTTGCTTATCAATCAGCCAAGAAAGGAGAAGGTAATTAGACAATGTGTTTTGACAACACCAGTGTGAAATGTTATAAAGTTACTCTTTAAAATTCACCTCTAACTACACGCTGATTGAATTAAAGGGCCCCAATTAGCAAGGAGCCATGCAAATGTTCCTTCAAGTGTTGCTTTCCGAGGCCGGTGGTTGGGCTGTCTCACAGCCCGTGGCTAAAGCAGGCTGGACCCAGGGCTTAACTGCTTTTTAACGTGTGGCAGTGACGAAATCACAACCTTTGAGTGAAGGTCTTTATGGACTCATATCTACCCAGTGTAGCCAGAGTCCATGCTGATAGTGCCTGCAGAATGCACGGCATGTTTTCCTACTGATAATAGAGAAACTCCTACTTCCGAAAGTCATTTCAGGAGTCCTTACAGACCTTACTGTTCCCTGACAAATGAGTTACGGGGCTATTATGCAAAATTCTGAAAGGACTTCTCTTGCTTTTAATAGCAGCCCTTGTAGTGAGGTCCAGCAGCTATAAACTGCAGTGATTACATGTTCATAGGAGACTGCTCACCAGTTCCAGCAGCCGTGCTGCCTCCAAGTAACGACAGCATGTGCTGGGTATGTAGGATGCCCTGCTCTGCAGCAGGAGTTGTGTGGATGGCTGTGATCTGCTTCTTCCACACTTAGCAGCTCACATCTTCCACACTTACCAACTCACCAGTGCTCTAAGTTTGGAAAAGTTGTGTTCTGTGAAGTGGCGCTCTGCCCAGGAATGCAGTGGGTGCCTGGTTTGTGCCTCTGGCAGGAACCCATTACGCAGTGAGTGAGTGTTGCTTTCATGTGGTTTTCCATCTCTTGGATTTAAGCAGAGTCTTGGAGCACCAAGGAAGGAAGGAGCAAGCAAATTCTCAAAGGAAGGGAGAAAGCCCAGAGAATGCAGGGCTGTACCTGTAAATACCCTGTATTTACCCCAGCTCTGGCATTCATGCATTCCCAGGAGAGGATGAGAGATCCTCCTTTTCCGCAGCAAACTCAGAAAATCCATCCTCTAGCATTAAGACTTGGGATTTGGTTGGTTTAACTGCAAGAAGAAGCCATTTTGTGATGCTGTTGCTGTAGCTTGATCATCGGGCAGGAGCTCTTCTGTCCTGCCCCACAATCAAGGATCCTGCAAGGTGGCTTCTGTAGTGTTCTTGAGAAGGTTGTGAGTGACCACTCTGCTGTGCTGCACAAGTGGGGAGCGCACAGGAGGAGCCTGGTCTCGTGCTGCCTGGATAACTACAGCTAAATGAGATTTCTGCTCCTGCGAGTTGGGAACCTGCTTGGAATTCTCACTGGCTGTTTTATGCCATTTCCCTCAAATGCCTTGCAGCAGTGGGACTCCTTGCTAATCCCTGAATGCTGCTAAAGTGGATGCTGAAGTCCGGGTAACCATGAGCTCTGCCACAAGTGTTTCTGGTATGGGAACACCATTTATCCGTTAAAAACTTACGTCACAGAGGAATGTATCAATCTAAGAGATAAGGAGGTTCAGAAGTTCTTTGCTTGTGTCTTCTCTACCCTGCTGTCTTTTCATTTCCAAGACTGACTTGTGATCTAACATCAGCCCCTCAGGCATCATGGAGGTATCAAACCTCCTGTAGAAGAGGGAGGTTTACCAGCACAGAATTCCTCAGCCTGTTCATATCTGTGAGAAATGGTTCAGCCCAACCCGTGGATCCTGGGGGTGGTGAGGGACCTCTACCCAATATAATTTTGGAAGTCTGCCTGTTCTATCTCAGAGCAGTCGAGGTTGACTCTTCCCGAAGGGAACCTGCAAACCACAGTGAGATTCTTCCCTTTCAGCCTTTTCACATAGAGACCATGGCAGAACCACACATTTGGGATGCCGGTGTGTTCTGATGTGCAACTTGGTCCTCAAACCTCAGTTTCTCAGGGAGGGTGAAATCCATCAAAACCCAGACCTGCACCTACCTCACGGAGCAAAATCCATGCAATTCCCACTCCATCAGCTCCAAGAAAAGAAGGAGAAAATGTGAGAGCTGAGTGGAACTACTGGAGAGCTGGGGTCTCTCACATGTTCTTAACAGGCTACTTCTTCCCTAAGGTACCAGAGCTTCAGGCACTTCATGTGTCAAGGACGTTGTTCTGGTGATAGGTACCCCAAGAACTCCTTCTTCAGAGCTGTCACAAGGAAAGATTGCTCCATCCAGACCAGTTCAAGCAATTTGTTTTTTGGCAGTCCACCTGGCATTCAGCCTCCCATCTGTTGTCCTCTGCAGCCTCCCCATCTCAGTGTGGTTTGGTTCTGGACAGTGGCATTAAATAGAAGTGGGTAGGTCATTAAATAAAACAATAGGGAAAACAGCTGTAAATAAGCAGTTCTTTAAAACTGAGTATTTCCTTTCTGAATTGTTGATTCAGAATGTCCAGAGATCTCATTCTGGTGCAGACTGGAGGGCTTGATCCTCCTAAACCTTGCTGCATCCTTGACTTGGAACAAAAGCATCTGGAACCCTTCTGATTTCAGAAGAATAAACAGCCTATTTACAACTCCCTTGGCAGGACTCTCTATGCCCATGGGAATCTGGAGGCAGGTTCAAAATCCTGAAGCCCTGGAGGATCCTGCTCTGGGCACATGCTCAGCCTGGCTGGTTGTTGATGGAGCGTGTCTCCCATGTCTCCCTTCTGAAGTCAGGCCTGTCATTTGATAAAAGTTTCAAGCACTTTGTTGTCTTTTTGAACCAGGTCAGTGCAATCCATATTTGCTGTCCAAGGAGACAGAGAGAGCGCTCAGCAATTTTCTGTGTTGTTTCAGCACAGGGAATTAGCATCCATTATTCTGCAATACTGTTAGTTTTGGGGAAGTCTGTGTGGCTCATCCTTAGAGCTTCCTGCTTCCTGCTTCCTCTGAGCCACCCTTAAGGGTACCTACCAGGACAATGTAGGGCACATACAACTGGTATCTCGGGGGTGAAGTGAGGTTATTTCCAGCTGCACTGAACTTGGATGCTCAGGGAGACCCTCGCAGAGATGGCTGCACAGAGGGGGCTGCATTTGCACCCTCCAACAGGCTGATGAGGCCCTTGCAAGCTGTTGTGCTGAGTGGGAAGCTCCAAGGACAGGGCAGTGGGTTTTGCAGGTGCAGCAGCTTTTTTGAAGACAGAGGGAAATTAGTTTATCCTAAAGATTCTTGGGTTCGATTATTGTAATTTCTGTAGTTGAGCTTCAGTCATCTCCAGACTTTGAGTTCCCTGGATACAACAGTGATTCCAAATGTCTTTAGATCCTCATCAGAGACAGAGCTGTGGTCCTTAAGCATTGCTGGGCCTGCAGGGAAGCATCTTCCTGTGACAGGACTTGCATACTCAGGTTTCCAAACAGCCTTTGCACCCACTCTTGCCGGAGGCTCAGGAGAGACTCTGGTTTGGGATGCTGCATTGCATCAGGGGCAATGAAATTAAAGAGGAATCCTTTCCCAGTTGTGTCTCTCTGTGGTAGCTGCAACAGGGAGACCTGAGACTGTAACTGCTGAGCTCCGAACTGCCTCTCATTAGGCTCATTAAGTGTCTAACGGAGCAGGGCTTGGTGCTGCTGTCGTATAAACAACCGCAGGGAGAGTTGGCATGTCTGAGGTGGCAGGAGGGAAGGAGCACGTCACCCCACAGGCTGTGACTTGTCAGGCAAGAGAGGGATTTCCCTCCTTGGGAACTGCTGGTGCAACCTCACAAGGTGGATGGAGGTGGTCATGGGTTTGGGGTTTCTGAAGAAAGCAAATCCCTTAGCGCTCCCCTGGGCTGTGCTGGGGAACAGAGACATCACTTGGATCCTGGAAGCTCCTCAGGGAGTAACAGAGCAGGAACCAGCTCTACCACGTCTTCCCCCGTGCTGGGCCATATCTGGGGCCCATTTCTGGACAACACAAAGATGAAGTGTGCTGCTTCGGCCCCTGTGCCAGCATTTCAAGGCTGAACATTTTTGTTGGTGAAAATCTTCATCTGCGATTTTGGGGTTTTTTTTAATTTGATTTGCAGGACTGGAGGTCCTGGTGGCAGCAAAGATGTCATCCCAGGGTGGGAGCCACCTGGTAGCTCACATGTGCTGTGCCCTCTCCAGTGGCTCCATACGTGGTTGAAGGGATGGCTGCTGGAGGCTGCTCCCAGCTCGGATGGGTCACTGGGATCGAGATTTGCTGGGCAGGGTCAGGAAGACCAATTCCTCTTGGCAAACAAAACAAGCAGTGCTTTAATTGGGACCTCTGCAACCCAGCTGGGGTGTCATGAAAGATGCCTTCAGCTCCTTGGTGCCATCAGTGGGTACTTACTGCTGCTGGTTTTCTTCCCTGCCTTCCATTCAGCCGCTGGCAGAGACAGCAAAGCCAAGAAGATTTGCATACTTCTGTCAGGTTTTGAGGCAAAGCAGTATTTTAGTCTTTTGCTTTGATCTTTTGGCTGGTCTGGGATAAATTCGGGTGGTCTCTCATCCTCCTTTAAGTTTTCAAGCTCCATGTCTGCTTCTGATACTGCATTTGTTCTTTTGCTGTGAATTATGTCTTCACATTTAGTTTTATCTCTGGTCCTATAGAGTGTATATTTCTCTCATGTTGGTATTGAAACATTTGAATGCAGGGTTTTGTGCTGCTGAATTTTCCAACTATTTTTCCTCCAAATTAAATTTTTATCTCTGCTGTGTCATTTCATTGTTTCTAATATTTTAACAAAATAGTGCAGAAGGGATGAAAATGAGGGGGGAAAATACAGCAGCTGATAGCTTCATACTTCACAAACTTCTTATCCCAGAGCTCAGGAATTTCAGGATGAAGTAACTCAGCATAAGGAATTGAAAATGCCCTTGAACTGCCATAAATATTCATTTATTCACCCAGAGCAAGCAGTAAAATGGCATCTGTGCTTGTAATGGTGCTGTATTGATAAAGCCAGCAGGGAATCGTTGCATGGCTCTGAAGAGCTGAGATGCAATCCTGCAGGATCCTCCAGGAGGAGAGGATGCTTTGTGGGAATAGGGGCTGTTTGGCAGAGGTCGACTGGCATACACTGATCCTCCTGGGATAAGCTGAGTAAGTGTGCACCAGAGTCCTCCTTTCTATCCAAGTGAAAGCATAACTGCTATGAACAGGATTTTTGAGTGGTTGAGGGGTCTGTACATCTTTTTCCCACCCTTTGAGACCAGGATATTCCTGTTGACCCTGTGTGCATTGGGAGAAAACCAAGCACATCCATCCCTAAGTGGAATTTGGTGCCAAAAAAACTTGTTGAATTGTGGCTCCAGAAAACCTTTCCCTTACGTGGGGAGGTGTGTGGAGCTGGTGCCAGCCAGGGAGCTCGTGGAGGTGGCTCAGCTTCCAGCCCCCAGGTCCTGGGCTGCACCTCAGTGCCTGCCAGCCTGTCCTCCCTCCGCTCCCCACCGGAACGACCGGCATTTCCAGTTATCAAAGCCTTCCAAATAAACGTGTGATTTTTCAGGCATCTTGTGCTAACCCCTGGTGTGCTCTCCCTGCAGCGTACGTACCGAATACCAAAGGATATCCACGTGGAACCAGAGAAGTTTGCTGCAGAACTGATCAATCGTCTGGAGGAAGTACAGAAGGAACGTGAAGCGGAGGAGAAATTAGAGGAGCGCCTGAAACGCGTTCGAGCGGTCAGTAACCTTCCTGCCTCCTCTGCCAGCCTGGGAGGCTACTTTGTACCACAGGGAGCTTTCAGCTGCTGTGGAAGCAACTGGAGTGACCAGTTCCCTGCTCCACTGCCATGGTCAGCACTTGCACGGGGCTCTTGGAGGCTCCTGTTGCCCCAGAAACTTTCACGGTGCTGTCCCTCTGTCCATGCAGGGCTCTGTGAGCTCCAGTGCTCCCTCCCCGTGTAAGATACAGCCATGGCACAGCAGTGCCCACTTCTGCCATAAGTTAGGGGCTATGGATGCTCTCCATCACCTTCATTGGCACCTTGACTTTCCTGACTTTGTGAGCAGTCCCTTCCTTGTGAGGATGGGGACTGTGTAACAGGGGTTCACCTTTCCCTGGGAGGTCTCGTGTGATCCCTATTTCCTCCACAAATGGTAACCAGAGGGCAGGTGAATGTTGTTGTGTCTGCTATCAGGCTGTTTCTACCACAACCAAAGGGGTTCTGCCTCTCAGTGTCTAACACATCCCTAGAAAACTTGGAAATGATCAGATGTGTCTCCTGGGCAGAGGAACCCATTGGCTGCACAGGGGTGGCTGGGGATACCCAGCCAGTGGCACTGAGTGCTGTGAGCCCTGGTACTGCTGGGGCCCTTCAGAGCCTGAGGACTTGTTAGATGAACCATGGGAAGTGTGCAAGGCCTTAAGCTCCACAACAAGCTCCAAAAGGTGAAGAGTGAGGTGCTGGTCATGTGGTATTACCTGTGTGAGACCCATGTTCAGCAGTATTCACACCATATTTTTTCTTCTGAGACACTCCATCTTGTGCTGGGGATACAGGAGAGATTTCAGAGGACACTGTGGTGTTACTGAATGTCACTGGTGTCAGTGTAACTGCAGCCCTGTGTGATGAAATTGTGGGTCTCTGCAGTTAATAGCTGCCGTGGCCCTGAGGCAAAGGTTCTGTGCTCAGTAACCTGCAGCTCTCCCTTAAAGCAGAGGTGTTGGTGCCTGGCTTGGTTGGCTCTGTGCTTTCAGGGAAGCTGAGCCCCTGGGACTCCAGGAAAGAACCTTCAGCCCCACTGGAGTATGTTAAAATGTTCATCTAGTAGCTCTTTAAACAGAAAAGAGCTGTAGGTTGTGGTGTTCTCTTTAAATCCCATCTGCATTTCAAATGCAGAGAACTGAGGAAGGCAGAAGGATCTGTAAGGCCCCCTCCAGCTCCAGGCATCTCCCCATCCAACAAGCTCCTCATCCAGTAAGAACAGGCCATAGAGGTGCTGTTTTGTGATTAGATTCCTGTTCTTCTGGAATTGCACTATTGTCCTGTCTGGTGACTGTTGCTTTCTAGACAAAGCCAATGTAACCAGCAGCATTTTCTGCTAAGTCCTAGAACTCTCTTTCTCTTCATCCCATGGCTCTCTTGCAGCCCCCACCTGTACTGAACTACATTATTCCAGCCCTCTGCCTCCTTGAAGAAGCTGCCAGTAGCAATACCATAAAATCAGCAAATACCTATGTGCCAGAGAATATATTTAAGTCTGTTTAAACACATTTTCGTGTGACTTAGTCTATTTTTAAGCCCAGGACTCCCACTAATGCTATATATTAAACCTCTTTGCTGTCTCCAGAACGTATTTCATTGACTGGCTGGCATCTGGCATTAGCCATTCAGGAAAAACTCAGAGTAAGCAATTGTAGCTTTTTTAGGTCAGCACTTAAGGTGCAGGAGCTGCTGGTATCAGCAAGAGGGAGAGCTGGAATCCTGATAGATCACGGGGCTTTTTTCTGTGACCTGAACACCAGACTACAGGGTAACCTCTTCATGGGTCTACATGGCTCACTGCACAGCAGCACAGGGAAAACCACGAGTGTTAGTCACACCAGGTAGTTATCAGCTTAGCAGAGAGGCTGGAAATATTTTGCAAAAGCTAGGAAGAAAGAATTTTTCTCCTCCATACTGAGCTGCCTGCAGGTTCCCTTTCAAAGCCACATCATGCAGTAACATTGAGAGGAGGCATCTGATTTGAAACCAAATGCCTTTTACTGAAAAGACTGACAGATTTCTGTTTTACAAAAAAAAAAAAACCTCTGAATTAATTAGTTACTCCGAGCAGTGTGAGAGAGAATTAGAGGATATTGTTTTTTCCCATATTATTGAGGCACTTCAGCCTCGTGTCCATGCAGGGAAGCTGCAGTATCATGTACAGATCAGTATCAGATCATGCTCTGTCTGAACTGAGCACATGGAAAACAAGCCAGGGGAAGCAAAGCCACTGCTTAGATTCTCACTATTTGAATATAAAACATTGCCTGGCTAGAGAGGGAAATGGTTTGCATGATGATGGAACAGGCACTGGTGCTTAGCAGAGCTGCTTTGCCTTCCCAACCAGCAGCAGGTTGGGAATGGGTGGGACTGGGAGAAGGCAGAGGAGGTTTGCAACGAGGTCTTGCTTGCCCATAGCTCATCAGTGCAGCTCTCAGCCTCCTAATTCAAAGGGAAGGGCACCCCCAGCCTCGCTGGAGAGTAAAAATAGCTCAGCAGACAGTCAGCAAAGTTGGAGCTGCGTGACTCTGGCTGCCGCTGCCTTGGGAGCTGGTGGAAGAGCTTTCTGGCAATATTATGTCAACAAAGCACCATCTAGTGGTTATGGGACCGGGGGTTCCCCACCCTCCCAGAGGCTCTGCTCACTGCCAGGCTGTGCCCAGCTCACCTCCAAGCTTTGCCCAGCTCATTGCCAGGCTTTGCCCAGCTCTGTTCCAGGCTCTGCCCAGCTCACCACAGTGAGATGCCAAAACACAGCTCCAGAACCCACACCACACATGTAGTTTTTTCACTGCAGACTGAGCAGGTGAAAAGATTTCAGCAGAACTGATACCTGTAGCTTTGACTGGAACCTTTGCCCAGCTTAAGGAGACATGACAGCTCGGGATAGGCACCTCAACTCCTTCATTACTACCATTGTCTCACTGTTGGGGCTCTCCTACCTGTTGTGAGGTTGAGGCCAGTGCTGGGGGTGGTCCCCAGCACATCACCCACCCCAGCACCACCTGCTCCTGCCTGTGGTGCTGCTTGGGGTCCAGCTCTGCTCACTGACACAAATGAACCGAGTGAAGGTGAACTGAGAGAGCCAAGGCATACCTTTCCTCCCTTTAGCCCACCCTGAACTCAGTCTTGACACAGAAGTCCACATGGAGAATGCAGTTCCAGGCAGCCAGAGGATTTCCCAAATTCCAGACACCCATTTGGCTGGACCACCCTTGTACCACCCTGCTTTGGTGTGACAGCACTGCCAGAGCTCTGGCTCTGAGCAGAAAGGTCATGCTCTGCTGGTCCTCAGGGAATGTTAGTTGGTGTTTAAAACCTGAGAGGTACCAGCCCCAAAAACCTCCCAAGTGCTGAGCATATATTTGGGTTATCATAAGCTGCTAACAAATGCTCACCCCAGTGGCAGGGGTTTAGTCAGGACAGGCTTCTTCATTTCTTGTTCTGAGCTCAGTGCCCAGGGCAGGCTGCAGTGGCTGTAGATGAAAGGGGCCTCTGAAGTTCTTCAAAGTGATCTGTTAGAAGGTGGTGTGTCCCCTCCAGACACCAGCATCATGTCACACCCCAGGCTTGTAGCACCCACACCTTTGGCACTTTCAAAGCCTGGCATTGTCCCTGCTCCAGGTCTGAACCCCCAGGTGTGACACTGGGAGGAAGTCTGTTATTTACTTTCTTGTGTGGTTGGCAGCTGAAACTTTGAAGCTGGTTAGCAAGTGATGGATGATGGCATCTGACAGGCAAAGCTGATGGGAGTCAGTGTTTTCCAGCAGATGCATTTATCTGGCAGGGCAGAGATACCCTGTGCTGCAACTGACTTCTTTACTGTGCCAAAGGAGGAAAAGAGAGCAGGATTAAAGGGCTCGCTGGAATCCTGCTTATGTAATTAAAACAAATAGGAATCCTGACTTCCAATAAAGAAACTTCATAAATATCTGAGTTTATGTTGGAGCGTAAAGTAGTTCGTCAGCATCAAAACTGTGGCTGTCAGCATGGAGGAGTTTAATTCTTCCTGGCAAGGACTTAAGAGTCGCTAACAGCGTGTCCTAGACCAGCGTGAACTGCAAGAACAAGCAGTTACTTCCAACCCATTTCTTTATCTGCGTGAAGTGTTTCACTCCAGCCTTAGCATGCCCGGGAGAAATCAATGTTTGATTTTCAAAACCGTTCATGCAGCTGTCGACCTTCACTTGCCCCCTCCTGTTGCAGCCCACTCTTGGCTTTGCCTTGTGAAATAGTCATTTGGGTGAGAAAACCCCCCCCCCCGATCTCACCTGACTCAGAACTGATTTGCCACATATCCTGTAGCTCTGGGTTTATCTGATGTGCTTTGAAGCGGTGCCTTACCAAAGGCACGTGGGAAGTCACAAGTGCAGTGCAGTAACTTGTGTTTCCGCTGCTGGTTGTTACAGAACCACCTTCAGGGGACTTGAAGAGGTTTTTAGTAAGGTTCTGCCTGCTCTTGTGCCTGATTGAGTCGTTAGGCTGGTCAGAAGGCTGTGTCTGTATCCCTGGTTGTGATGTGTGGGCTGCCTGTCAGAGCTCACCTCAGTCTCCTTGGGGAGTGCGTGGAGAATGTTGCTAATGATGGTTCAGAAGGCAGGTACAGAGACCTGAGCTGCTCTGCTCAGTGACAGCCAGACTGCAGAGGCTTGGCTTGAGCATTGGGAGTTTTGTGTCAGTCTGGGACAAGTCTCCAGAGGGGTGGTGGGTCTCCATCTTGAAGGCTTTCAAGATCTGGCTGGATTAAACCAGGCCTAACCCGAGGGTTGGCAGCAGTCCTGCTCTGAGTAGAAGGTGGGACTAGAGACCCCCTCCACCACGCTGCTGTCATTCTCTGATTGTCCATGTGTTTCTTGCAGGAGGAAGAGGGTGAGGATGCAGATATCTCTTCTGGTCCCTCGGTCATTAGCCACAAGATGCCTTCCGCCCAAGCCTTCCATCACTTTGCTCCTCGTTACGCTGAGATGGGCTGTGCTGGGATGCAGATGAGAGACGCCCACGAGGAAAACCCCGAAAGCATCCTGGATGAACACGTACAGCGTGTGATGAAAACACCAGGCTGCCAGTCCCCAGGACCCGGCCGTCACTCTCCTAAACCACGGTCCCCGGAAAGCGGCCACTTAGGAAAGGTGTCAGGGACACTGGGAACAATTCCTCCAGGGCATGGCAAGCACGCAACAAAATCAGGAATGAAACAGGATGCAGCTAACTTGTACCACCATAAACATGTGTACCACCACATCCATCACCACAGCATGATGAAACCAAAAGAGCAGATCGAGGCCGAGGCCACGCAGCGAGTGCAGAACAGCTTTGCTTGGAATGTAGATTCACATAACTATGCAACAAAGTCAAGAAACCACAGTGAAAACTTGGGCATGGCCCCTGTCCCCATGGACTCTTTAGGCTACAGGTGAGTCAAGGAACATCCAGCGGGATTCCCAAAGCCATGGCTTCTCTAGGGAGGCTGTAGCATGTACATGAAACAGTGTTTGAACCGCATTTTCTTGGGAAACCTTATGCTGGGACATGGTTTGAGGGCCTTCCACTGCTCCTGCCCTTCAGAAATGTATATGCCCTGATAACTCTTATGAAACCTGTTTTTATCTCTGTGATCTCATGCTGAAAGACACCTTCTAACCAGGATTTTTAGTGGCCTGGTTATAGAGTAGGTTTTCTGCTCCTTAAAGCAGTGGAGGTGCTTAGAAATTCCAGGTGCTGGTCTGCTTCTCCATGGACCGGGAACTGCATGTTAGGGCTGTGTCTCGAGTATGGGTAACAGAAACAGGTTTCTTAAGGTGTTTATGAGAGGACAAACACCCCCTTCTTATTGCAAGACCTAACCCCTTCCCCAGAAGGGCCCCTTTCTCCTCCCAACAAAGCAGTGGGTGCTGCAGTGCTGTCCCAAGGGGATGTTCTCCAGGGTAGGGCAACCTCTGCCCAGAAAAGCCATTTTGCTGCTTTATGGACTGCTGTCCATCTTCCCTTGACTGTTTGAATTCCTCCATCCCCTCCACGCTGCAGGGAGAGGGCAAAGCTCCTCTGCTGCAGCAGATTTTGCTGGTCCTGTTACTGGATGACTGCAAAGTTGGGAGTGAAGCTCGGAGCTGCCCGGGATGAGGGATGGGGATGGAGCAGCCACAGGGGAAAGTTGTGCTCACCCTGACTGTGTTTGGCTCCCCAAAGCTGTGGTTTTGGGGTGTTATGAAGGCAGAAGGCTGGGTCTGCAGCAGACAGGACCAGCTTTCCAGGCTGGCAGGAGGGAGGCAGAGTGCAGAGGCTCTCCAGGAGGGAGAAGCAGTTAAATCTGCCCTGTTTCAGTGGGGAAAGGGTTGTTGCTTCATCAGAGTTGAACATGGCCATGCTGGACCAAAGCAAAGCCCCATCTAGACACAGGACTTCCTCCTAGCAGCAACTACAGCATATATTTAATGGGATTGTAATAGGACACACTCAGAGTTGTCCTTCCTCTGGCACAAACTCCCAGTTCCTGGCAGTCCTTAGATTAGGAGCTTCACAGGACCAGGATTTGCATCCAAATGGTCTTGTTTGGCAGCCTGCAGTCTCTTGTGATTTCTCTGGATCCTTGTTGAACCCATCTGGGTTGCTGTCCCCCCAGCCCCTCACGATTGTGTCTGTGGGTTGATGACAACCTGCAGAAAAAGGCTTATTTTTTTGGTTTGCACTGAACCTGCTGCTGCAGAGTTTCATTTGATACCCACTAATCCTTGCGTGGGGAGAAGCAGAGATGATGTCAGCTTGCCCTGCCTTTGTAGATCTGCAGCAACCCCTCTCCAGCTTTTTCCCGAAAAAATCAGCGAAGCTATGTAAGGACCTGTTTCTCCTCTCTGGTGGTTAGGTTATTTTTCTTATATGTGCAGAAGGAGAGAGGTCCTATGGGTGGGTGGTTAGGACGGTGGGGGTCCCATGAAATTGCAGGCTGTGCCAGTGCCAGGCCAGCACGGGGGAATTCTGCACGGCCTCCTGAGCCTGGGGCTGCTCAGCTGGGCGTGTGGCCATGCATGTGTGGGCAAGGGGCCATGGGGTTCCTGTAGGAGCCTTTGCTGCAGCCAAAGGTGTAGCCAGAGTGTGGGCTGCTGCCTGGCATCCCTCTGGCTACGGTGTGCGAGGTGGCAGGGCTTGCCCATGGCAGGCAGCCCACCCTACTGGGACGTGATCTTCCACCACGATGTGAAACCTCGGTTCAGATCAGGGTGAGGAGCAAATGCTGTGCATGGCAAGTCAGAGTCTGGGGTATCAGTGAAGCTGGGGGGCGATAGGAAGGGCCCAGGTTTCAAGCAGTGGTCAGGCATGGAGAGGCAGCTAACAGATTGCAGCACCAGGATGAACCTCCTGCCCTGAGCAAAGAGCTGGGGGTTTAACACAACCCTTCTTGTGGCTTGTTTGTCCAGAGGAGAAGATCCCCCAAGTGACTGGGCAGAGAAGTTGCTGTGCCCAGGTCTAGCCAGTCTTGCTCTTAGGCTAAACTGCAGCGTGGTTGATTTGAGCCTTGGTAGAGCAGGGGGCTGTGGGAGGTGTCTGGAGACAGACATGTCCATCCCCTGCCCCAGCCCACGGTGGTTTGGCTCAGGCAAAGCACTGATGTCTCAAGCTTTGTTCTTGCAGTGGGAAAGCGAGTCTGCTCTCCAAAAGGAATGTTAAGAAGACTGATTCAGGGAAAAGTGATGGTGCCAACTATGAGATGCCAGGATCTCCTGAAGACGTGGAGAGAAACCAGAAGATCCTTCAGTGGATCATAGAAGGAGAGAAGGAGATCAGCAGGCATAAGAAAACAAACCATGGGTAAGGGCTGGCAGAGAGAGGGGTCTTCATGCTGTTGTATTGCATCCCCTGCACAAGGCATGTCAGCCTTGCTCCTGCACATCCTGGGAAGGCAAGAATCCACAACACCAAGGGTTTAGAGCCTTTGGAGTTTGAGGATTGCTCAGGGGCTATAAGGACTCTTTTTTTCTGAAGGATGACAGTAGAAGCCAGGGCAGGTTGCACTGCTGGCAGCTGGGGCTGAGTGCCAGGGCCATGGGCAGTGCCAGGCCACCAGGAAGTCAGGCAGCAAGTTCTGCCCCTGGAGCTGTAGAAGGATCCTCCTTCCCTGGGGATGCTGACCAGTGTATGGTAGCACAGGGCATCTTCTGGGGGAATGTCACAAACCGTGGAACTGCCTTTTGCTGGGTTTATTTTTATGTATTGTGGATTGATGAGAGCCCTTACACACAACTGTGAGGTTTGTGTCAGGGTTGGGCTGCTCACCCTGATGTCTCAGGACTTTCTGTCCTCAAATCTTCTCTAGACTTTGATGTTGCTCCCCTCTCCCTCGGAAACCATGCTGTGAGGAGCTTCCCCAGTTGTGTCTGTGTCCAGCAGCTGGTCCATCTGGGAATGGCTGCATGCCTGTTCGGAGTGTCCTGGTGGTCCATGTAAAACCTTTGTGTTTGTGCAGCTCTTCAGGTGCTAAGAAGCAGCTGTCCCATGACATGGTCCGGCCCCTCTCCATCGAGCGACCCGTCGCGGTGCATCCGTGGGTCAGTGCCCAGCTCCGGAACGTCGTCCAGCCTTCTCACCCCTTCATCCAAGATCCTACCATGCCGCCCAACCCGGCCCCCAACCCTCTCACCCAGCTGGAAGAAGCTCGCAGGAGGTTGGAGGAAGAGGAAAAAAGGGCTGGAAAACTCCCCCTTAAACAAAGGTACGACAAGAGGGTCTGATTGTGCATGGGAGGGACAGGACAGAGTGCCCTGAAGGTGGGCAGCTGAGGGATGTCCTCTTCTGCTCTAGTCTCCAGCTCCAGCTGGGTGGAGGCACATGCAGAGAGGTCAGAGAAACCTGTCTCAGTCCCTCTGATGTAGTGGTGCAAATGGCAAAACCCACCCTGAGGGCCTGGGCTTGTGGATTGTGGAGGGAGAGGCTGGAAGTGCTCCTGGCAGGGTGGGAAGGGGCTGGGCAGGGGGAGCGTGTCTGGAATGGGCCTGGCATGGCAGAGCTCTCTCCCCTGGTACTCAGTGGCTCTCTGCTTGTTCACGCCCCCACCACGACTTCAGAGGCTGGTGCAGGAGCAGGATTCATCAGGATGCAGCAGAATTAAGTGCAGAAGACAAATATGTGTTTGCTCTTTATCTACATCTCGCAGAAGCTTCCAGCAGTGGCTGCTCGTGGCTCTGGAGGAGAGAGCACTGTGCTGTAGCCCTGCTGCAGCAGCTCTGCCTCCTGCCTGGCCATATCCAAGTCACTGCATCTTTCTGTGACTCAGCTTATTGCCTGTTGCAGAGCTCATTCTCCTGCTCTGTGTTATCTGTCAGGGAACATTATTTGAGAGGCACATGGAGCTCTCCAATGAAAAGCATTCTGGAAGTGCTGGATAATTACTGTTAACGGCTAACAGCACTTTGTCCATTAAAAACCTTTCACAGCTTTACAGCTGTCCTCTGAAAACTCGAATCTTTGCGGTCTGACTCTTAGAAACACAAATGGAATTTAAAAAAGAAGCTCTTAATTGCCAGGCTCCTGTGTTTTGCTTGCAGTGACCACATGGCAGACTTCTGTGTATTCATGTCAGAGCATTGATTGAAAGCCAGGTAATTAGAGGGCTCTCCCAAGCCAGGTTAAGCCAAGTTTATGTGATCTACCTTTCAGCTGGTGTAATTGGATAGGGTTTATTATTAGAGTCATTTATAGTTGTACTAAATTCATGCAGAAATCCCAGAAATATCTCTACGCCATCCTGGGCTATATGTGTATGCAATTAATACTCTAACAATAATTTGGTGTGTATTTTAAGAGTGGCTTTCACAGGAACCCCATGGCATGTGGGAAATGCCGTGCAGGCCAGCGGGAGGACGGTCTGAGCAGTCCCAGTGCTGGGCTGCTCTGTTTGCACTGCCTCCCCATGAGTCTGGCTCTTGTCCCAGTGATGCAGGGATCTCCCAGCCCTGCCCTGTGTGTGGAATACCAGGGAGACATGGTTGGGAACCATGTGGGCTCCACCAGTGGAGAACTGCTCATGAATAGCAAATGTGTCTGTGCCCAGTAGCAAGAATGGATGCAGTGGTCCCCAGGGAGCCAAAGATTTCTGGATGTTGAAATCTCTCTGCTGGATTTTGGCAGGATTGGGTGCCCCAGCTGAAGCACACCTGAGCTGGCAGCTTTTAGAGAGCTCCTGCTCTGGTTAGCACAGGAGCCTGCCTGGAAATAGATCCCATGGCTCAGTGAGAACAAAGGAGAAAATGAGAGGGGAATTCACATGAAAACACCGTTTACTTCAGTCAGGAGCTCTGAAGAGCTCTGGGAAATTGGAGCCAGTGTCCCAGGTTTGTCAGCAGCCTTGGGGAAGCACGGAAAGGTGGAGGTGAGCCCAGAGGTGTCCTTGAGGCACTGCTTGATCTGGCTGTGGGAGGAGAGCATGCTGTGCCAGCTTTGTACAGCCAGACTGGCCTTGCCAGCACGGTTATCCAGTTCTCCAGACCCTCCCCTCCACACAGCCCTTCAGGAGCAGTGGGATTCCCCAGCCAACTGCCCACTGCCCTGGCTGAGGGTGCTGACAGCCCCTCTCCCACCCCAGCACTGCCCTGCTGGAAATCAAGGAGGCACCTGCAGTTCCTGTGCTGGGAATTGTAAATATTCTTCCAGAAATACTCATACTGCAGAAAGAGCCTTTCTCTCCCTACTCCACAGCATTTGGAATGACCTCATCTCCAAGATAACTACCTGACTGCTGCTGGCAAGCATTGCAGGATTAACTGTCTGGTACTGAGTGACCTGCAGATCAGCAGCACAGCAGTGCCCAGCACTGGTGTCCCAGTAACCACCAGGTTTCTTCCCTGTACAGACAGGTTTTGAGCCATTTTCTGTAGCTCAGTCTCACAGTTCACAGCTGAATTGAAGTAATTAATACCAGCTCTTCAGAGAAAGGATTTTTTCAAGCAGGGAGAACATTAGCATGATCTGTCTGGAGTTAATTGGGTTGGACCAAGCTTAGAAGAGGAGCAGATCTGGTGACTGTGACACTCCCCAAGGTAACATCTACTGGGTGCATTTGGGGCTTCTCAAAGCTCTCCAGCCCCAGGGCTGAGTTGGAGCAAGATGGGCACCTCACCTCTGTGTCACAGTGAGGTTGGATTGGTGCTGTAAGCCAGACTTAGATTCCCTGTCAGAACACCAGTGGGTTACACAGCTCAGGAGTCAGGACTGGAATGCAGTTGCAGTGAGCTGGATGAATGCTTTCGTTTCCATACCAGATAATGTTTTGTGCTTGTGACAAACGCAGCAACAGGAGGTGATTCCAGAAGGGGCAGGGCAATGGTACCTGTTTCTGGTCACACTGCCACCCAGGAGATGGGTGCAGGTGGAAGATTTAATGAAGCAGGGCTTGGAGATGGTCTGGTGGCCCTTATGTGCAAGCCGAGGTCTCAGGAGATGTCTTGGCAATGACGAAAGTGGAGACGGTTGTGTTGCCTCATTCTCCTGAGAGGAGCTCTTGGAAAATTACATTTTCAGTGATTCCATATTCATCAGCTCTGCTTTAGCCTGCTAGAGGTCTGTGGCTGCGGTTTGGGATGTGTGTCAGCTCTGCTGATAGAATTAAAGCAACAAGAAAAGCTTCTCTAGGCACACTGGTTATAAAAGGAAGACCAGGGAAAATGTGGGCCCTCTCTGGAAGGAAATGGGAGAGTTGGTTACATGGGGCATGCAGAAGGTGTTTTTTTGGCTTGGTCTTTCTTGCCTTGGTCTTCACTGGTGAGTGCTCCAGGCACAGCACCCGAGTCACAGCAGGCAAAGGCAGGGACTGGGAGAATAAAGAACCACCTGCAGTAGGAGATCAGTTTTGAGACCATGTAAAGAACCTGAAGGTGGGACCTGATGAGATCCACCACAGATCTGAGGGCACTGGGGGATGAAGTGTCTTAGCCACTATCCGTTGTATTAGAGAAGTCACAGCATAAGTTTCCACTGACTGGAAAAGGGGAAACATGGTTCCTATTTTTAAAAGGGGGAAAAAGGAAGGCTTGGCAGACTAAAGGCAAGTCTGTCTCTTCTCTTTGCCTGGCAAGATCATGGAGCAGCCCACTTCTGGGCATCATTTCAGGCATTATTTTGGGGCACATCTCTGCTCTGGAAAGAGCTGGAACCAGGCTGAGCACGTTCAGAAATGGCCTTTCAGGTGTGAAGTGCGTGGCAGGAGGAAGGAGGCTCCCAGTCACTGGCACGGTCCCCTCTTGCTTCTGCCACGGCAGAGCTCGGGGATGTCCTGTCCTCTCCCCCTCCCCAGGCAAGGGAGAACAGCAACCCTGAGGAGCCAGCTTTTGCTGCCTGTGCCAGGCACTTCACTGTGTCCCCAGGTCCCCAGGCACACATCTCTTAGTCATGACTTGTCTCTAGCAGGATTAAGAGAAGCTTAGGGACTTTGAGGTTTTCCAAACCCCTTCAATTAACTTCTGGCTCACAGGGTTCACAGAATTTGCCTGAATTTATGACCCATTTTCCCTTTAAATGCTTTGTATTTTTTTTTCCAAGGATGACTCAATTCCTTAATGTTTTTCTAGCTAAAGGGCATCCTGTGCTTTGATACAGGGATGGGAGAGGCTCCGAGAGCTCTGCTGGCACCAGGAGCAGACCCTTTCCTCTCAGGATGCTGCATCTTCTCCAAAGGTCTCGCAGGCAGAGCAGGCACCCGGAAGGTTGTTCAGTTGAACTTTAGACCTCTCATGCCTGTAGGAGGAGGTGAAAAAACTCTGTCTGGTGTTGGTTTGCAGTGCCAGTGTTTATGTGGGCACGCCATGAAAAGGTGCTCTGCCCGCCAGCCAGTGTTTAAAGGTTAAGGTCAGAGTCATTTCCAAAACTGCGATTACCTCATGTGCTTGGCAAATTCTGTTTCTTTACAGCAACTTTCCAGTCATGTAAATACAAAATCATCTTTTTTTATCCAGCGTGCTTTTAAACCAGTTTTTTTTTTAAAGCTGCCAAATGTGCTTTATGTGCCTTTGAAAGGGAAGGCTGCCTCTGGCTCAGACCACGCATGCCAAGGTACCAATTTGTGTAGGCTGCTCCAATGTTTGTGCAGCGTCCTCGGCACCCCAGATGAAAGGCTCTGCAGAAGGGCAAAGTACCCTGAGTTTTGTTATTGCTGCCTTTGTCTGTCTCTGAAAACGGGGTGAGGGCTGGGCTGATGTTTTTGGTCTAGTGATGGCGCCACGTAGCTGAACCCCGATGTGTGGGCTGGAAACAGAGACCAGACCGGTGTTCTCAGAGCGGGAAAAACACAGGAGGTATAAAGTCACTGAGGTTTTGGGGATGGCAGCTGCCTTGGCACCCTGCTGGGAGCTCCATCCCCTCTCACCTCGTCTGCACTGGGAGAGGTGTCCAGGGGAGCCGTGGGGCAGCCCTGTCTGCAGATGCAGCTCAGTGGAAAGCCATGCTGAGCTCTTTTGGCCATGGTGGCAATAATCCCGAGCACTCTGATCATGCCCTGCAGGATGACGCTCCAGCCCTGCATGGGTGCGCACCAGGAGCGTGGTGAGATGGTGATGATGGGTGACCTGGATCTGCTGCCACGGGCCTGGGGTGCTCTACCTGGCCCAGAGCTTACCAGTGACTCCCAAAACCGTGCTGTGAGCAGGGCCGTGCCCTCTAAAAGCCTGAGGACAGGTTTCTTCAGGATTGAGCTAGAACTGTGTTCTGGACACCATCCAGCCTTCCCAAGTGCTGTTTGCTCCTTCACCAGCCTTGGTGTTCAGCTGAATGCCAGGAGAGGCTGGTGGTTGGAGCAAGGCATGCTCAGGGACTGCACTGCACTTCCTGCAGCCCATCTAGTGGGACCTGACCCACACCTCTCCCAACACGACAGTGCTGAGCACTGTGGGCTGATACTCAGCAGGTCCCTTGTGTCTTGGCATGGCAGGTTGAAGCCCCAGAAGAGGCCGGGCAGTGGCGCGTCCCAGCCGTGCGAGAACATCGTGGTCGCTTATTACTTCTGTGGAGAGCCCATCCCCTACCGCACCCTGGTCAAGGGGCGCGTGGTCACCCTGGGACAGTTCAAGGAGCTGCTGACCAAGAAAGGGAACTACAGGTAAGGGCTGCTCCCCACCTGTGGCGTGGCGCCAGCAGCTGCCAGCGATCCCCGGCAGATGCCACTGTGGTGTTGCCCCCACCAAGGTGAAGGAGCTTGGTGAAGGTCAGTCAGGAGGTTTCCCTCTCGGAATGCTGTGGTGGGGATGTGGCTGCTGAACAGGCAGGTTACAGGGATGAGGGAGGTCGAGTTTTATAGCAGAAACGTCCTGCATCGTGGTTTGCAGCTCCAGCAGAAGCTGCTGAGCTGCCCTGCGGTGTCCTGGGCTGGTAAGCAGCAGCATCAGCCAATGCTCAGTGATGCTGTGGGGACCCTCTGACTTCAGAGCTGTTTTGGCTCCTCCCAGAGTTTATTTTGGTGAGGACAGGGAGGTTGGGTCCTACCAGAGTCCCAAAAGCAGCCAAGTGAGAGGCATGTAGCTCTCCAAGTTGTCCCTTTCAAGTAGGAGTGGCCATGGGAAAACCTGCCTAGAAATGCTCCGCCAACACGGGTGCCTCGGCCACTATTTTTAGGAGAGGTGAGAACGGACTTGGATTTGGGGCTGGAGCTCCTGACTGTGCTAGCATGGATCCTGACCACTGTGTGTGCTCATTGGGTGAGGGCAGGGGCTTTTGCCTCCAGGTCTGGGGGAGCAGCTTCCCATGCACCACGAGCTCAGGGCCATGGAAGGGCTGTATCCAGGTTTGAGGACCGTGATGCCCCAAGACCATTCAGCTGCATTTTTTTTCCCTCTCCCCCACCATGTTCCTGTTTTCTCAGGTATTACTTTAAGAAGGTGAGTGACGAGTTCGACTGTGGTGTGGTCTTCGAGGAGGTGCGGGAGGACGACACCATCCTGCCCATCTTCGAGGAGAAGATCATTGGGAAGGTGGAGAAGATTGACTAAGGCTCCAGGGCAGCCGAGGCGTGAGGACAGGACTGTGAAGGACTCTGGGACCGGAGGAGAAGGCCTGGGGCAGACACTGGTGGTGCTGCTGCCACGGGCACTGGGCGAGCCCAGGGCGGAGAGCGGCAGCCCCGCTCTCCAGCACAGACCTGGGCAAGCTCCGGGATGCCAGTGGGTGCTGTTTCACCCCATGAACCTGCCAGTGGGAGCCTGGGCTCCCTCTCCATACCGAATATAAGTGTAATGTAGCATTGTACAGTGCATTAGAAAGTGTAATATGACCTTGTTTACTAAAGCTGCATATTTTTGATATATTGTAATAAAAGGAAAATATTTCCAATGTCACAGTGCTCTTATGTAAATGTAAAACATACAGGTACTGCAGAACTCGCCCAAAGTGTACAGCCACCCGTCAGGCTCCGGCTGCTCCGTGCTTTCCCGGCACCCTGCCCCGTTCTCCCGGCGTGGATGGCTCTGGAGCACCGTGGGGCAGAGCAGCTGTCACCCCACGTGGAAGGGTCCCAAGGGGCTGTGAAGATTTTTGAGCCATTTGGAAGGAGTCAGTCTCTGGCCTCCTTGGCAGGCTCAGCTGCTGGATATGGTAGGATGGGTCTTTTTTTTTTCCTCCTGAGCTTCCTTGCGACCGAGTAAATCCCCGAGGGATAAAAGGGTCAGTGCTCCCTGCAGAGCAAGGACCAGCTGGGAGCTGGGGTGGCAGGCTGGGTGCTGGCATCCCATGGCCTGCATGCTCATGTGTGTATCCCCTGTGTGCCCCTGGAGAAGGTGCTGGCACCCATGTGCCTGGTGCAGACGCGCCCAGACCCCTGGGCCAAGCTCTGGCATTGGGCAGGGAACTCTTTAGGAGAACCGTAATAGGGAGGGAACTGTGAGACACTAAAGCTGAGGACAAAATACGTTTTTTTATGAGTCCTGCATCTTTTGTCAGATTCTGTGTCTCAGGGGAGGCAGCAGGAGGGCACTGCACCAGGGGGATTATTGATGCCAGTTTGTGAGGCTCACATAGGGGGCCAGATCACCCAGTTGGCAGCCAGAACCTGGGAAGCCTCCTGGGCTTACTCAGTTGCAAGGAAGCCTGGGCTGTGCCGGTGCTCCCACCACTCTGCCTGTCCCCAGCCCGGGCCCTGCTGCTCCGGCGTGGCCGTGACTGTGCCAGCTCCTTCGGAGACCAGCCCTTGCCCACCCACAGAAACGGGGGTGGCCCCAAAGCCAGGGGGGTTCCACATCAGTGCTCTCAGCCACAGCAGTGTTGGGGCTGCCGGGCACCCCGTGGCACCGCGCCGGGACACGACTCAGCCTGTTGTTTATGTCACCGAGTGCCTTTATAACACGGTCCTGGGACTTGCCTAAAATGCTACGTGAGGTCCATCAAAATCTGCAGATGTTTTCAGCCCGGGAACAGCGTTTCAAGGGGGTTTGCTCCCTGTTTTTTGAAGTTCTGATGGTGGTGTGTCTGGTGAGGTTGTTAACGTGCCCGGGATTTCCGTCTCCCCCTTTTTTCTCGGGGGTCCCTGTAAATATGTACAGCGGCCGCGCAGCCCCGGCGACGTTTCCTCTGCATTCTCATGTGCTGACTTGTACAATGATCTTTTCAAAGGTACTTGGATAAAATGAAATAAAACCCCACATCCCACTGCCTGCTGCTTTCTTCCTTCCCCACGGAGTTACTCCCGGGCCCCCGGCAGCCTCTGGGATGGACAGAGGATGGCGCAGGTCTGGCAAAGGGTCTGGGCACGTGGTGGGCACCCTTCCAGGCTGCTCTGGAAGGGTGGCTGGGCAGGTCCTGGCCCCAGGGGACCAACATGTTGCCCCTGGAGGAATAGCCCAGGGGAGAGGGGATGGTGCTGGCTTTTGGAGGGGATGCTGGGGGTCCCAGAAGCTGAGCCAGACTTGAGGGGAGCATGTGACAGCAGCTCCTGGGGATCCCCTGGGGCTGGCAGGCTGTGAAGGAGAGACCCTGGCTGGTCCCCCATCACCTGAACCCCAGCAGGCCAGCACGAGGGCCAGCACAGAGAGCACTGGGCTGCCCCCACAGCCCTGTTCTTGGCCAACCTGTGTCACCGTGGGGCTGCCAGGATGAGTGTTATGGCACAGTTGCTCCAGGGAGGCAGAGGGCCCCTGGCAGCACCCCCTCCTGGGGGGCCCAGGGCTGAGCAGTAGTGGGGGCACTGCCCATTGTCAGCCCTGCTGTGCCCCCAAGACACGTGGATGCTCCCCAAGACATGGAGCCGCAAACAGACCAGAGCCCACATGGTTTCCAGGTGGTTTATAGCACATGCCTGAGCGGGACAGGGCTCACAGCTCATCCCGGGTTTCATCTGTCCCCAGCACACTTGGATCCTCCTTGCCTGTGCTGTTCCCGGGGGTCTTGGTCACCTAGAAAAGGCAACAGTGAGGCATGGATGGACACACAGTCCCTGCCTGCCCCTGTCCCCATCACCATCCCACAGGATCCATCCCCTTGCCCAGCAGGGGCTGGGGGCTGCCCTGGGATGGGGGGGCAGGCAATCCCTGACTTCACTCACCACAGGAGGCTCCGCGGGCAGCACCCCCCCATTATCCAGGAACTTGGAGAAAGTTTCCACATCTCGAGCGCTCTTGTACTCAACCATCTGGAGCCATGGGATGGGAGGGTGACGAGGAGTGACCCCATTCCCCGTGTGCTGGCAGAGCCGGGGTGACCCCAGGGGTGTTCCCCCCACGTACCTTCCTGCCCGGCCCTGCGGGGAAGTAGTGCAGGGTGGGGAAGCCGTGGATGGTGATGTTCTCCAGCTCGTTGGCCGTGGCATCCATCTCGGCGATGACGATGTCCTCGCGGTCCTTGTAGCGCTCGCCCAGCTCCTCCCAGGCGGGTGCCATGGCCTGGCAGTGGGAGCACCATGGAGCGTCTGCGGGACAGGCACAGTGCCAGGGGATGGACTGGGGGACTGGGGCTCTGCAGCATCCCCCAGGTGAGGGTCTGTGACAGGGCTGGGGGCTGCTATGGAGGGGCTGAGCCTGGCCCCAGCACTTACAGAACTTGACAAAGACGTTCTTGGTCTCATCAAACGCCACCTGCTCGAAGGTCTTCCCCACCAGGACTTTGACGGGCCGCGTGTCCCAGTCCTCGGGGGGCTCCTCGCTCAGCAGGTGGGGCTGTGGGGACAGTCGGGGCAGCCACAGCTGGGCTGGGCAGTGCCAGGGCCCCAAGGGGCACAGTGTGGGCCAGGGCAGGGGTGCCCCAGCACACAGCCAGGGGTGCACTTGTGCTGCCTGTTGGACCACATCTGCCTCTCCACTGCCATCCCAGCTCTGTGTGTCTCCACATCAGCAGTCTCCTGCCTCCTTTCCCCTGCCAACCCCCCAAATCCTCAAGCCTGGCAGCAGAAGGATCAGCAAGCAGGGGGCTGGTGTTCACAGCACATCTGCCATCACCAGGCCTCTGAGTCACCAGCTCACCGCTCACCACGGGGAAGAATCCTCAGGTGCTGGCTGGCACCTGCTGCCTCCCTCACCTTCACCTTGCCATCCAGCACTGCCTGGATGAAGGTGCGGATGGCCGTGTCCGAGAAGGAGTCCTGCTCCATCTGGTACTTGCGGTTGTTCTCCATCTTGACGAGGCGCAGGGTGGGGGCGTCGGCGGGGGTCATGCCGAAGAAGGACAGGACATCGGCGCCATACCCGTTCACATCCACCACCACGAAGAGCACCTGGGCGGGGATGGGGGACACTGAAGATGGGGTGCCCCACAGCCACCCCCCTTGTCCCTGCCATGGGACCACCTCACCTCACCCCGGAAGGTGCCGGCGGCTGCCTTGAAGCCGTCCTGCAGGGACAGCTGCTCCGATGATGACTTGTTGAGGAAGAGCAGCATGTGATGGGGGATCTTGGCACCGAAGATCTGGTTGGATGTCTGAGGAGGAGGAGGAGGGTGAGGGCAGGAGGCTATGGCACTCACAGGCAGAGATGGGGATGGACATGGGCTGTACCTCACTGTTGAACTCCGTCACCAGCCTCAAGCTGTGGACGCGGAGCAGCCGCGTGAGCTCGTCTGTGTCCAGCCCCCGCGCCGGGTCCACGGGGAAGTTTGTCTGTCTCTCATCAAACTGCCAGGGCAGGGGCTGGTGAGGGCTGGGGTGGGGACCAAGATGGCCCCACCACCCTCTGCCACCCCCTCACCTTCTTGAAGAGACAGACGGTGTCGGCCGACAGCCCATAGGCCTGGAAGAGCTCGGCCGCCTCCGCCACACCAAAGGGCATGTCCACCATCTCAGCAGCCACATCATAGAACGCCTGGGCTACCTGGCCCTTCAGGTCCTGCACAGCCCCCACATCAGTGCCACAGTCACGGCCATGGCTGCGGCCCCAGTCCAGCCCCCACCCTCCCCAGCCCACCTTGAAGAAGCCAATGACCACCAAGTCCTGGGAGTTGGCGAAGGCGTTGGCGGTGTCGGTGTCGTGCAGCAGCATGGCGCTGGGGCCGGCCCGGCGCTGCATCCAGCGCACAATGCCCCGCGTGTCCATGAGTCCTGCCATGCCGAGCAGAGCCAGTACTGTCACCCTGACACCCCTCACCAGGCTGCCACCCCTCCCTGTGCCACCAGCCTTGGCCACCTGCCACCTCCACCACAGCACTGCCCGGCATCACCCGCCTCATGCACCATCACCACACTGTCACCCGCTGCCACCATGCTGCAAAACCCACCAGGACGTTGCCACCCATCTCACTATCACCACCCTGCCACCCTCCCCAGCCCCACGGCAGTGTCCCCTTGTTTGGTGCCATGTCCCTACCGGTGTAGGGGAGGGGGTGGGTGCGGTTGCCATTGCGGAAGAGCTTGAGCGTGGGGTAGGAGGTGATGTTGAACTCGTTGGCAAGGGCTGTCTGTGCCATGGCATCCACCTTGCCCAGCCGTGCTGGACTGGACTCATTCCTCAGCTCGGTGGCCGCCTGGGTGTAGGCAGGGGCCAACTGCTGGCAGTGCCCACACCACGGTGCATCTGCAGGCAGGGGATGGCATTGGCAGTGGGGACAGCTTTGGGGTGTCCCCTGTCCCCAAGGTGGGCTTGTAATGGCTGCATGGGCCCATTGGGCCCCAGCTCATGCCCCTGTTCCAGGGCCCATGTCCCTCACCCCCACCATGTGTCCCTGTCCTGTGTGCCATACCCCTGCTACTTGTTCCCCAGCCCATGCCTCTGCCGGTGTCCCTGCTCCATGTCTCTGTCCCCGTCCCCATGCCCTGTCACGTGTCCTGTGCTTCTACCCCTCTGGCCCACAGCCTTGCCTGCCTGTCCCCCCCTCCACCCCAATGCCCATATGTCTGTTCTGCCCACACTCACAGCCACAGCCAATATCCCCTGCCCATATTCCCTGCCCGACATCTGCCCCTGCCCACACCCCTGCCCGCAGTGGGGACACTCACAGAACTCCACCAGCAGCAGCTGGTGCTCGCTCAAGGCACGGGCAAAGTTGTGTTCATGGAGCACCAGGACATTGTCCTCCTCCTTGATCTCATCTGAGAGCACTTCATCCTCTTCCTTCTCCTTTTCCTCCTCTGCCACCACCTCCCCATCCTTCTCCTCATCCCCCAGCACCGGGCCCAGCCAGGCCAGCGACAGAACCAGCAGCCAAACCAGCCTGGACCTGCAGCCCCGCATGGTGCCGGTGCAGAAGACGTTGTCCAGGGGGCAGGACGCAGATAAGAGCCCTGGGGCGGGAGGTGCCGGTCCCCTGGGGCTCGTGGCCCTCCGCTACTGGCTGCCCAGCACGGCCGATAAGGCAGCGGGACCAGGTGGCTGTTTTCCAGCCACTCGTCACCGCAGGGAGACCTGGCCCTGCCAGTGGGATGGGGACAGGGACAGGGGGAGACAGGAAGCAGGGGGACGGGCAGAGGTGACGGGGGCACAGACACACCAGTAAGAGACCAGTCTGTAGGGTTTAATGGCGATGGAAGAGCACAGCCTGCGACCGGGCGGGTACCGGGCACGGCACCACCACGGCGGGGTCACAGCCCCGGCCCCAGCAATGGGGACGCCGTGAGGACCAGGCGGGCTTTGAGATTTAAAAAAAAAGAGCAATTAAAAATAACTTTGGTTGCGAAGACCACGACCACGGGCGCCCACTCGCTAAGGGACCCCCCTCAACCCTTCACGCGACTGGGGCAAGCGCGGCGGTGCCGGCGAGGGGTCCCCGGGATGGCGGCACCGCGTCCCCGAGCTGGCGGGAAGAACCGGGGTGCGGAGGGGTGGGGGTCAGTCCTCCCAGTCCTTCTTTATGCAGAGCCCCCACTCCCAGGAGAGGTGCTCCGTCTTGTCGTCGTCGGTGACGAGGGAGCGGACGCGGTAGGAGCCCCGTGCCAGCCATCCCCGCGGCGCCTCCTCCGCCGGCGTCACCACCTCGTACTCCTCGGCCCGCGGCGCGTAGCTGCCCACCATGAAGACGTCGCGATCCACTGGGCGAGAAGGGGAGAGGAGGGGCGGGTGAGTGTGGCCAGGATGGCACCGGCCCCCCCAGCCCGGCCCCCGCAGCCCCCCGGCCCCACTCACCGGGCCGGCCCCGGCGGTAGGTGAGGTGCAGGCACCGCAGCCCGCAGACGATCTCCCTGTTCACCTGCGGGCAGAGGGCAGGGCTGCCACGGGTGCTGCCCCAGAACGTGGGGCCCTCACCACTCTTGGGCATCCCTCCTGACATCCACCACTTCCAGGATCCAGCTCCTTGTCAGGACTGGGCACTGAGGAGCATCGGGGGGGAGGGGGGGGGAAACAGGTACCCCCAAGAGGGGCAGGGACTTGGAGGGGGCAGGGATCTCCCCTCAGGAGGGGCAGGGACCTCCAGGGACCACTGGGATAGGCAGAGACCCAAATCGGTGGGACCTCTGGGAGGAGCAGGGACTCTGGGCTGGCAGGAACCCTCAAGAGGGGCAAGGATCCACGGGTGGCAGTCACACTGGGGACAGCAAGGATTCCCTGGGTGACAGGGACCCAGGAGGGCAGGAACATCAGAGTGGGTAGAGACCCTCAGAGGGGCACAGACTCTGTGGGTAAGGGGTGGGAAGCAGACACCCCAAGGCAGCAGGGACCTCAACGGCAGGGACCCTGGGGCAGGCAGGGACCCATGGGCAGCAGGAGGGACCCTGTGGGGCAGGAATGTGTGGGAAAAGGGACCCATGGGGAGTAGGGACCCCTTGGGGTAGGGAATCCAGGGTGGGAGGGCAGGGGCCCCAGATAACCAGGATCCTTTGGGGCAGGGACATGTGGGAAAAGGGACCCATGGGGATCATGGACCTCATGAAGGACCTCATCAGGCAGGGTCCTCGGGGTGTGAGGGCAGGGACCCATGGCACAGGGACCCCTTGGGGCAGGGACCTTTGGGTGTGAGGGCAGCAGGGCTATGCCCAGCCAGCAGGCACAGGGCACCACACCCCCAGCTCACCTTGAAGGACACCTTCACCCTGTAGTCCACCCCTTCCTTCAGCACAAAGGCCCTGCCCTGCAGCCCCTCCAGGTCTCCTGTGTGGGGAGATGGTCCATCAGCCTGATACCCCTTCCTCTTTCTCCTCCTCTCACAGGTGTCCCCACAGCTCACCTGTCAGGTCCATGGTGATGGGCCCTGGCGCCTGCTCACACATCAGAGTCAGCCTTGTCACCTGCACGTTGGGCACACTGGCATCTAGGGACAAACAGCGGGGCCCAGGCCTTACCACCATGCCCAGCCCACTGAAACCTCCACCCCAGTGAGCTGAGGGGCTGCTCATGCCCCTGTAACAGCAGGAAGGGCTGCAGTGTTCCTGCCGGGGTGTTAGAACCAGGAGAGCCGGGCAGCCAGGCAGGGCACAGAACAGGGCATCTCGGGTCACCCCAACATTGGCATCAGTGCCGTTGGGGTAAAATCATGTTTAAAGGACCCAGACACGGGTATGTCCCTGGGTGCACCATTCCCTGTCTCAGGAGCAGGACAGAGGCAGAGGAGGTGGATGCAGCATGTGGAGCAAAGGCATCCCTTGGAGTGGGGACTGATCTGAGTTATCCCACCAGCCCAATCTGCACCCCAACAGCCTGCACACCCCCCAGCTTGCACACACACCATTGTGCACCCTTCACACACCCCACTGGTTTGCATGGACCTCCCCCCCAGCCTGCAGCCCCCCCGTGCACCCACGGGTGCCCACCGGGGTGGTGGGCCCATGGAGCCCCCCCAGACCAGGCCAGCACCAGGCTGGGGGGCTGCCGTGGGTGCCATGGAGAGCGGGGGGCACCGTCTGGGCACCAGCAGCCGTGCTACCCCGGCCCCCCCGCTGCTCGTTCCTCTCCGTCATCGCCATGAATTTCCCGGTTCCCTGTAGCCGTTCCTATGGAAACTGCGGCGGTGATCCCGTAACCAAGGCAACCGGGGTCCCCGGGCACCGGTACCCTGTCGGCAGGGGATGCCGGGGTCTCTGCGCGGGTGGGGGGCACAGGCAGCGCCCACGGGAGATGCCAGCCGGGATGTGTCCTCCCTGCCGGGGATGCCCCGCGGGTGCTGGGCATTCCCGAGCTCCCTGCAGCCACCGAAGCTGCATCACCCAGCCGGGGTGCCGGGCTGTTGGGGTGCCGGGCTGTTGGGGGCCCAGAGTGCCAGGGTGCACGTCCCCAGGAGCAGCCCCCAGCCTTACCCACGGCGGCAGGGATGGCACCCAGCAGCGCCTGCTTGTACTTCCGCAGGCTCTCATCCCCTGGGTCCAGCTCCTGGATCTCCCGCAGGCTCTTCTTCTCCGGCGTCTTGTACGCCAGGGCCGCGTCGGCATCCTCCTCCTCCTCCTCCAGCGACAGCGTCACCCCCTCCTTGTCAGCCATGATGTCTGCGGGGGACAGGCAGTGACAGCCCTGGGGACACCCCGGGGGACACCCCCCATGCCCTGACACAAAGGTGCTGGCGGGCAGGGGGTGGCTGAGCTGTGACACGCCATGGATGGATGTGGGCAATCCCCGTGGGGGAGATGAGCTGTTCCCCTGCCCGGAGCAGTGGGGACAGCACCATGCTCCGTGTCCCCAGGGCCTGGTGGCACAGCTGAGACCAGAGGTGTTGCCGCCGGCTGCATTTCCGCACGGTCATGGAGCAAAACGAGCTGGTGCCTACGTGGTGTGCTTAGTGCAGGGGATGCCTGCAGACCCTTGCAGCCCACAGGCCCCTTCGGTGTCACACAGAGAGGTCCTTGTCACCACCCTACAGCCCCCTCCAACCCTGTTGGGCAGCCACCAGCCCCATCTCCCACCCCAAACCCAAACCACCAGCAGCTGCAGGGCAAAAAGGCATCTCCGGGGGAAACAGTGGCTCCGGTGCTGCCAGGCTACTGGGGGGCACAAGGGTGGGGGGTGTCCCCACAGTCCCTGACTTTCCCTGCCCACTGCATCGCCTCCACTCCTTGTGTTTGCAAGCACTGAGCTCCCCAAAGCCTCTAGAACGCCATCCCTGGGGACATGCTGGGGACACACCATGGGGCAGGGGCCACCGTGCTCAGCCCTGGGGCCACAGGGCTGCAGGTCCCCAGTGCAGCGACAGTGACCGGGACACAGAGCAGCGGCCCTGCTGCACTTCTGGGCCCCCCACCACGGCTGCCCCCGACTGTCGCGGCAGCGTGCGGGGGCTCCCAGCCCAGGGATGAACCCACGCGGGGGTTAGTCGGCCCCCCACGGGTGGCAGGGCAGGGTGGCATGCGGGGGGTGCCACAGACAGGAGGAGAGCAGGGGGCTCCCCCGTGGGACTCTCCGGTCCCCCCGCCCCCGGGGTGATGCACCTGGTGCCCGGGGTATGCTCACCTGTTGGGGGGACCCGAAGTGATGCTCTCCCGCCCTCCCCGGGGCAATGCCCCCCGCCGCCCCCGGGCGCTGCCCCCCGGCCGCCGCCGCTCACCTCGGTAGCACAGCGCCAGCCAGAGCAGCTCC